AGAATTAGCCAACAACCCACCCGAGGCCTGTTCCAGTGAGGTTTTTAAAGCCACGTGCTCCAGGTCCTGGAGATGGCCTCACATCCCCCTTCGGGGTAATTCCAGTGTAAATCTGAGAGGCTGCTCTTCAGTTGGTGAATTCTTCATGCTTTACAGATAATTTATAAGTCTTTAGCACCTGTGGGATCGAGGAAAGGCAGAGGCAGGCTGAAGGAGGGGCACAGGTGGGCTGGAGGCAGAATTGAGGAAGGATGCAGTGACTCTGGCAGACACTGAATGCTTGTGGTGTGAGAATTGGGGCTCAGGATGTCCCAGCTCCCATGGAGAGGTGAGGATTTCATCAGGGCCCAACCCTTCCAGCAAGGATTTCTCAGGCTTTACAAAATCCTGTTTTAGTTGCTCTGGGTGAGTATTTTACCTTGGCAGCTGATGCAGCCATGTAATAACCATCATCAAGGCCTCACAGATGCTCTGCTGCTGCCAAGGAGAGCGAGTCAGCTGCAAAATCAAGTCACAGAAATCTTAAAATCATAGAAATACTTGGGCTGGAAGGAACTTTAAAGCTCATTTCATTCCAACCCCTGCCATGGGCAGGGATTCCTTCCAGTATTCCAGGTTGCTCCAAGCCCCATCCAACCTGGCCTTGGACACTTCCAGGGATGATGCACAAAGAGGGAAATAAAGCCAGGAATAAAAGAACTTCAGAGGCAAATGTTGTAATGCTGCTTCAGCAGTGAAATTATAGTGTTTTAAAGCATCTGAAAATGATGAATCAGGAAAAATCAGGGTGGATATTCCCTAAAGGAGATCTGGCAGCCCAGCAGGACAGGGTTTAGGTTCAGGGAGGAGCACAATTCACTGCTACCCCAAGCAAAGCAGATCTAGTTGGTTATTAAATAAACATGCATTTCATACCCTTTTTCTAAGCAATGATGGTTTTAAGCCCTGGAGATGAAAAAAGCCATACCTGCATAAATTAGACAATAAAAAAAATTATGGTAGGAGATGAATTTACATAGGAACTTGGTTTTTTTCTTCTATAGGTGTTGGCCCTGCAGTGGCCTCTTAAGAGCTATTTGCTGTTCAGTGCTGAAGCAGGCACACCATGATTCAATCAACACTGATTTAACAAGTGATAAGAGAGGTTTGCCCAAGGCCTCCTGACCCATTTCCTTATCTTGTTCCTGTAGTGTTGGATTTTGCTCCAAAGGCCAAAGCCTCAGCAAACACCATTCATTTTTTCTGATATGCTAAAAAAATACAATGAGAAAAAAGGGGGTTTATTTCATGCCTGGTTTGGGCACGCAAGGGATTTTTGAACTCTCTGGGAAGTCTCAAATGGGGAAACTTTCCTGGCTGCATTCAGCATCAGATATATAAAAACAACTTAGCACTGAACCACAGAATGGTTTGGGTTGGAATGACCTTAAAAGTTCATCCCATTCCACCCCTGCCATGGGCAGGGACACCTTCCACCATCACAGGTTTCATCCAACCTGGCCTTGGACACCTCCAGGGAAGCAACAACTTCTCTGGGCACCCTGTGCCAGGGCCTCCCCACCCTCACAGGGAACAATTCCTCCCCAACATCCCATCATACCCATTGCCCCCTGTCCTGTCCCTCCATGCCTTGTCCCAAATCCCTCTCCAGCTCTTCTGGAGACCTTTTAGACCCTGGAAGGGGCTCTGAGCTCTCCCTGGAGCCTTCTCCAGGTGAGCACCCCCAGCTCTCCCAGCCTGGCTCCAGAGCAGAGGGGCTCCAGCCCTTGGAGCATCTTATCTCCAAAATGAACAACTTATCTCAAAAATGAACAGCTTATCACAAAAGCTGACATGTTCTCAGTCCAAACCAACTGCAATAAGGGCAGCAACTTTGACACTTCCCCAAAAAGGGCAGAAACTCAGCAGCCTGTGCAAAGTTTTAGTTCATGCTTTCGTTTCTTGAAAAAGACACCAAATATTTGCAGGAGAAACAGGTGGCTGCTCCCTCCTGAACAACCCACAGGGGACACCAGCAGAGCCTGAAGGATGGTGAAGGATGGTGAAGGATGGTGACACAGAGCAGGGCAAAATAAAATGTGTTTTATGGGACTGCACAGGTTTAAAATTGCTCTTCTGTGACTTCTGGGTGAAAACCTAGCTGGAAATAAGGAGCTGTGGGGAATTCAGAGGGAAATTATCAAGTTACTGGAATAAATCAATGTTAAGTGATGTCCTGACTGCAGCTCCACAGGACTGGAGGCACTGAGGCTTTTGGGACTGGATTGTTCAAAGGACAGGATGAAATCCAGGTTATTTCTCCTGTGTTTTATGCCAATAAAACCTTGCAGACAATGTGGAAAATTGAAATCAAGCTTCACAAGGAGAGCGAAGAAATCCTGTGGAGTCAGAGGGAAGTTAGGCAAAGTACAAGTGATTTTTTAAAAAATTATTTTAATTGTTAAAGCACAAATAAAAACATAGTGAAGGGGTGGTTAAATATTACATGCAAAGGCATGCACTGGTCCAAGGGCCATTGCACATAGAGCACTGAAGAATAAAAACATTTAAACACATCAGAAACATCTCCCATTTTACTGCCTAAATACTGGGTTGTGCAGTCAAGTGTATTAAATGTTACTCTGATTTTTCTCATCCCCTCACTAGGAAATCTTCTCAAACCAAAATCAATCTTTAAAATTGTGAGTGTGACCAAAAATTAATTGATATAAATGGAAACAGGGGGGGAAAGGAATATACTCACTGTTTTTGATCTTTTTTTTTTTTAGTTCTAGGCCACATGGTCTTTTCATTTCTGAGAATGGTGGGGAGTATAGTTTTTACCTCCTCCTCGCAGAGAAGCATTAGAAAATAATAAAAAAAGATGGGTGTTTTATCATTAAAAAGAAGTTTTATTGTCATTGTTGTTTAGAACAGGGCTTGAAACTGGTCCCTGAGATGACTTTTCTGTTGTTCATACTCCTGAAAATTGGCCAAAATGAGGGGAAAAGAGTCAGTCAGCCCAGCAACACATTTCTGCATTTCCAGATGAAAACTTCAAGAGATGCTGACAGGACAGAAATGTAATGGAGACAGGATAGTGGTGGGGTGCAAGGAGGGTGGAGTAGGAAAATTAGATGGGATAGAGGCAGGCTGGAGGAGGGAAGCAGGGGGATCACAGAACCCCAGAATGGTTTGGGTGGGAATGGACCTTAAAGCTCATCCCATTCCACCCCTGCCATGGGCAGGGACACCTCCCACTATCCCAGGCTGCTCCAAGCCCCATCCAGCCTGGCCTTGGGCACTTCCAGGGATCCAGGGGCAGCCACAGCTGCTCTGGGCACCCTGTGTGACGCACATGGAGTTGAAAAGGGATGGGTGTGGGATGCAGGAGGGTTTAGGAAGGATACAGGCAGGTTGGAGGAGGAAAACCAGGTGGGAGAGAGGCCAGCTGGAGGAGAGAAACAGGAAGGAAAAGGTATAGAGGCAGGATTGAGATGGATAGCAAAGGTGGGATTCAGGAAAAATCCAGACAGGTTGCTGGAGGAAAACCAGGTGGGATAGAGAGAGGATGGAAGAAGGAAGCAGGAAGGATGTGGATGGGATTAAGCAGGGATAAAGATGGGATTGAGGAGGAATGCTGGCAGATAGGAAGCTGAAAACAAAATGGGATGGAGCACAGCAGGAAGGGAGAAAGGCAGGAGGAAGGATGCAGGATGGGATGGCAGAGGGAGGAGCACCTGTGGGATCGAGGAAGGCCAGAGGCAGGCTGGAGGAGGGACACAGGTGGGCTGGAGGCAGAATTGAGGAAGGATGCAGGCAGGGTGGAGGTACAAAAACCAGGTGGGGTGGAGGAGGAGGGATGGAAGCAGAGCAGGGGTGCAGGCAGGATGGTGGAAGCCTGCAGGAAGAGGGGCAGGGATGGAGGCAGAAGGGAAGCAGGCAGGAGGAAGAAGGGGAGGAAGGAGGGAGGGAAGGAGGGAGGGAAGGAGGGAAGCAGGCAGGAGGAAGGAGAGGAGGAAGGACGGAAGGAGGGAAGCAGGAAGGACGGAAGGAGGGAAGCAGGCAGGAGGAAGGAGGGGAGCAGCGAGGAGCAGCAATGAGAGGAAATACACGGGATGCACGGAGGGATGGAAGGAGGGAGGGAGGGATGGAAGGAGGGAGGGATGGATGGAATCAGGGAGGGATGGATGGAATCAGGGAGGGATGGATGGAAGCAGGGATGGATGGATGGATGGATGGATGGATGGATGGATGGATGGATGGATGGATGGATGGATGGAAGCAGGGAGGGAGGGATGGATGGATGCAGGGAGGGAGGGATGGATGGATGCAGGGAGGGATGGATGGATGCAGGGATGGATGGATGGATGCAGGGATGGATGGATGGATGCAGGGATGGAAGCAGGGAGGGAGGGATGAATGGAATCAGGGAGGGATGGATGGAAGCAGGGAAGGAAGGATGGATGGATGGAAGCAGGGATGGATGGAAGCAGGGAGGGAAGGATGGAAGCAGGGATGGAGGGATGGAAGCAGGGAGGGATGGATGGAAGCAGGGATGGGTGGATGGAAGCAGGGAAGGAAGGATGGAAGCAGGGAAGCAGGGAGGGATGGATGGAAGCAGGGATGGGTGGATGGAAGCAGGGATGGATGGATGGATGCAGGGAGGGAGGGATGGATGGAAGCAGGGAGGGATGGATGGAAGCAGGGACGGGTGGATGGAAGCAGGAGGGAGGCGGGCTCTGGGGGCGGGCAGCCGGCAGGATGCTGTCACACCGGGGGCGGGCCGGCGGGGATGACTCAGCCTCCGGGAGCTGCCCCGGCCGTGGTCACCGAGCGGGGGCCGTGAGCGCCGGTGAGTCCCGGGGGGAGCCGGGGACGCGCACAAGGAGCGGCGAGGAGCGGTAAGGGAGGGAGGGGGTGCTTAGGGACAGGGGGCACGGAAAATGGGGTACCCCCTTACAGGACTCCGTGAGGGCCACGGAACACCCGCAGGGACGGCAGCAGCAGCGTCCCCCGCTTTTTCCAGCGGCGTTTTTGGGGGATTTTTGTCCGGGATGCGCAATGCGGGGTGAGGGAGGGGGGATGCGCTGCGGCGGAGGTTGTGGCAGGGAAAATGGGCGCTCGAAAGGCATCAAAACCTTCAAGGAAGGTCACGGGAGGAGAGAGGAAGCCTTGTTTTTATGGTAGAGACAGGAAAAACAGCGCAGCCCTGCTCGTCAGCTGAGCTGGGTTTGGCACGCTGGGAGCATCCCGTGATGCACAGCCCAGCCTGGGTTTGGACCGGGACCATGGCTTGGGAATGGCGCTGGAGAAGCTGCCATGGGTCCCTCCGGCCTGGAATGAATCCCTCATCCCCGTGTCCCACTCCCAGGGATGCTCTTTGCACAGTAATGTAGCAAAGATCGCTTCCTTCTGGCATTTCCCTCGAAATGTCCTGTCCTGCCGTAGCACGGGGTGTCTGAGGGCTTGTGCAAGACTCTGGTTTAGGGATTGGTTTGCAAGAATAACAGGAAAAAAAAAAAAAAAAAAAGAAAAATCAGTGCAGCTTCGTTTGGGAGGAATCTTGTGCTTTCTGTGCATGGAAGCTGCAGAGGTGAGTGCTGCAGCTTGGCTCAGGAGGGAATTATTTTGTCAGATATACAAAACAGCCCGGTCTAGTAGGGTTGAAATAAGATGACCTTTAGGATCTCTTCCAACCCAAACCTCTCTAGTATTCTGTTACCTGACCTGTGTTAGCGATCTGGCTTTGCTAGAAGGGAATAAACACAGGGAAGAGCAGCTCGTGTTGTTTTTTCCTTGATGAAAATATAATTCCAGCTCTGGTAATGCAGAGAGAGCTGTAATGAAGTGCAGGTTTGGTGCTGCCGAGCTCACCTGGTGACACAGCAGGCTGGAGCTGGAGCTGAGCCTTTCTGGGCTGGCTTTGTTGTGGCTTGGAGTCACAAGCCCTGGCAAAGAGAACAAAGGACAAAGCTGGGCCCGGGCTAAGGGCTGGTGCTGAGCAGGACACATGATTTGGGCTGTGCTGAGCATCCCTGGCCCTGGAGGGCTGGGGGGCGTTGTAGAAAGGAGGGTGGGGACAGCTTTTACCTTCCTCAGAGCCTTGGAGAAGGTGTGGATGGCTCCTTGGAGAAGATGTGGATGGCTCCTTGGGGAAGGAAGGTGTGGATGGCTCCTTGGTGCAGGAAGGTGTGGATGGCTCCTTGGAGCAGGAAGGTGTGGATGGCTCCTTGGGGAAGGAAGATGTGGATGGCTCCTTGGGGAAGGAAGGTGTGGATGGCTCCTTGGTGCAGGAAGGTGTGGATGGCTCCTTGGTGCAGGAAGGTGTGGATGGCTCCTTGGGGAAGGAAGGTGTGGATGGCTCCTTGGAGCAGGAAGGTGTGGATGGCTCCTTGGAGCAGGAAGGTGTGGATGGCTCCTCCTTGGAGGTGTGGATGCCTCCGTCTGTGCCTGCAGGGGGTTGGCCCAGACACTGCAGGAGCTGGGAGATGCTTCAGGGCTGTGACTTATCTGTGGTCTGACCTGCCTGGGCTGAGTCATGTGAGCTGGGCTCGCAACAGCCGGTTTGGGGGTTGGGTTGGTGCCTTTTTTTTTCTTTAATAAAGTTAAATGGGACTTGTGGGCTTTGTTTTGGGGAAGGAGAGCTTTGTGGTGCAAAGGTGAAGGGATTTGCTGCTGTGGGCACTGAATGTGTGTCAGCCTTGGCTGCTGGAGGGTGATGTGGGATCCTGCTGAGGGCTGGTCTCAGAATCTCTGCTGGTCACAGTGACTCTGAGATGTGTACAAGTCTCTTTTTCCCAGCCCAGCTGTCAAAGAAGGAGTCAGGATTCTTCTGTTCTCGTTCTCAAGGTTGTTTATTATTTCTTATTTATAACATTCTTTCTCTGGCCTGCTGAGGTCTGTCTGGCAGGTCAGGTTGGGGCACACTGCCTGCTCTCGTGTTATCTTTTTATACTAAAAACTACATGTGCATTATTTACCATAACTTCCCAATACATATCACCTATGTTAGACAGTGAGCTTCTACCTTAAACCAATCCAAAAGTGCCAACATCACCCAGAACATAGAGACCAGGAAGAAGAAAGAAGAAGGACAGGGTACGCCCAAATTCCTCCATCTTAGGACCCTGAGCCCCCATTCTAAAACCCCAAAAATGTATTTTTCACCTCGTGACAAACTATTATTCTACTTAAAATTCTCTTAACTTGTAGTCCTTCATATAAGGGTGGTAATTTGCTCCATGGGTCAAAATCAAAGGCACAGGTGTCTTGGGTTCTGTGCCAAGGTCTCTGAGCCCCCTGGGCAGGGGCTCGAGCCATCCAAGACAGCCAGAGAGATGTCCTGGGTCCTGACAGGCTGGGATATCAGGATTTGATTATCAGAGAGCTCTGTCCAGGAGGAAACAGTTGATACCGTTAAAAAAATACAGGAATTTAAAAACATATATGATGGTGATGATAATAATAGCAGATAATGACAACTTCATCCTTTCATTACAAGACCAAAAAGGTTAAAAAACTTCTGTTTATTGCAATTGGAATTGTTAACATTTTTAATAATAATAATAATAATAATAATAATAATAATAATAATAATAATAATAATAATAATAATAATAATAATAATGTGTCAGTTTAGGGGGGCTGCCCGATCTGCTCAGGAGGGATGGAGATGGCTCTGGGCTGGTGTCTCCTCCTCCTCTGCGGCAGCACAGAGGGCTGGGGGCGGATGCTGCAGCACCAGCACAGCCACAGCCCTTGGGCTGCTCTCCTCCCTCGCAGGCTGCAGCTGCTCTGAGCAGCTCCTGCAGAGCCTTCGGCCTCGCTGCCTCCTCCTCGCTGCCCCAAATTTCCTCTTTCTGAGCGACCGGCTGGCTGAATTGTGAGTGTCCTGTCCCACCCAGGGGCAGGTGTGCTGGTGGGTGTTTATTTCTTGTTTATTTCTTGCTCATCCTTCAAGAAATGGCACGAGCGGATGCTTTGGAGCTCAAATTATTCCCTGCTCTCAGTCCAGGGGAAGGTGGGGCAACCTGAGGGGCTCTTTGTGTGCCCCAAACATCCTCCTGCCACCTGGGGAATCCTGCAGGGTGAAGCTGACGAGCCCAACAGCCTTGCTCCTGTTCCCAGGCTGGTGGGATGGGAGCTGTGTGAGGATCAACCTTAGCCAGGGTTATCCTGAAGCTGAGGCACCTCTGGACATGTTGGGGGTGCAAAGTGCAAGGATCTGCTGGGGTTCCTGGGGAAGCTCCTCTGCCCTGTTTGCTGTGCACCAACTGGGGAGCAGCAGCTGTGATGAAATTTTGGTTTTTGGGGCTGCTGCTGTGGGGCTTAAACGGCCCTGAGGTTTTAGTGTGAGGAGGAGATAATAGCGGTGCTGGGGGAAGGAAGCAGCAGTGTGATAATGCTGCCAGGGGAGGTTTTGCTGCTCGGATCAGCTGGGGTAGAGGGGGTGAGGGAGGAAAGCAGCAGCTTTTTGTCGCTGTAGGGTTCCTGGGGTTGTTGTTTTTGTGCTGCATGTGACCCATGGCCGGTGGGAATCCGTCCTGCCAGTCCCGTGCCTGTGCCCTATTTATAGCCCTGCTGTACACGGGATAAAGCCAGGGAGAAGGGGGGGGTCAGGGAGGAAGAAATCCCACGGGGGTGAAGATTTCCCCTTCCTTTTCTAGACACCTGATCTTGGCTGTCAGCTCCCACCACCCTAAACTTCACAGCCACAGGAGGCCTTGTAGAATAATAGAAAGATATGGGGTGGAAAGGGGTGTTTAAAGGGCATTTATTTCCAACCTCTCTGCCATGGGCAGGGACATCTTCAGAACATTTAACTATATATTTTAACTTATGTCAGGTTGCTCAGAGCCCTGTCCAACCTGACATTGATTGTTTTTTGGGATAGGGCATCCTCACATTCCTCACAGAAAACAATTCCTTCCCAACATCCCATCTCTCCCTGCCCTCTGGCACTGGGAAGTCATTCCCTGTATCCTGTCCCTCCATCCCTTGTCCCAAGTTCCTCTCCAGCTCTCCTGGAGCCCTTTTAGGCACTAGAAAGGGCTCAAAGGTTTCTCTGGAACCTTCTCTTCCCCAGGCTGGACACCCCCAGCTCTCTCATGACCCACAAGAGACTTGGTAAGAGAGTTTAGAGAGTTTTCTGGGGTGTTTTTTTTGCCTCCATAGCCATCTGGCTCCCAGCTATTTGCTTTGCTGGGATTGCTGGCCCTGGGCCATGTCCATGGTGCAGATGCCAAGCAGCAGAGCTGAAACTCTGCCTCTTTCAGGGGAAACTGCTGGGTTCTATTTTCACTTTGGTTTCGGGTTGCCTGGAGAGTGTGGTCTGGTAACCCGAGGCTGGGAGATGTCCCCGTGCCTGTCCCTCAAAAGCTGGGTGTGAGCAGCACATCAGTGCCTGGCAGGGCGGTTTTCAGCCTGTCAGCAGATTTACAAACGTCCTGCTGGAAGAAAAAAAAATGTAATCATGTGACTTCTGGCCTCAAAAACACCTCCTGCCTCTGCTATGGGAAAACACCGAGTTGACTGCAGGAAGTACAGAGGGCTGTGGGGTTTGATGTTTTATTTTTTATGAGATTTTTCATTTAAAAGGTGCCTCAGCTCAGGCTGGTTACCTGCAGGCTTTCTGTGGCCTGTTGTGAGCAAAGAGCACAGCTGTATTATAAGTGTATATTTATTTTCCTGGGTGTAACCTCCTGTGTAAGGAGGGGAGCACAGCCAGCAAGTCCCTTGCCTGCAGAAACCTGTAAGCAAGAAAATATCCATGAAACCCCTGAAAAATATGCATAAAACCCTTTCAAAGAGTTGATATTTAGGAGTGGGAGGACCCAAGTGCTGCTGAAACTCAGCTTTTTTTTTTTTTTTTTTGGGTGCCCTGCTGAAAGCACAAAGCAGGGGGAACAAAATAAATAAATGGTGGAAGGAGGAGTGGGAAAGGAGAAAAAAGCCCCTTTATACAGCAATCTGCAGCCTCCTGGGCTCGCTGCTGGCAGAAAGTAGGACACTCCTGCTGGCTTTTCTTCTCTGGAAAGGCTAAACTTGGCTGGGAGTGGGTGGAAGCAGCCAGCAGGGAGGTGTGAGCGTGTGGCTCCATCCCCATCCCCTGCTCATCCAGCAGGAGCTGTGTGTCCGGTTTAAACCCAGCCTTGCAAAGGTGATTACACCTTCAGCTGGCTGAGCTGAGCAGGAATTAAAGCCTGAATGTCTCTGCTGGGGAGGATCTGAGGTCTTGGGGTGCTCACCAGGCTTGGGGTGGATGTGGGGCTGCTGGGAGGATTTGGAGGAGGGAGGAGGAGGAGGGTGCCCTGGTGTGTTTGCAGAGATAAAGGAGCTCGTGTCGTGTCTGAATGGGGCTTGGGGATGTGGAACAAGTGGCTGCTGGCGCTGGGGGTAAATTTGAAGTTGTGCAGTTTGGTGTGAATTAGGTTAAAGGGGAGCAGGGAAATCACAGAGCCTGGGGTGTCTCTGGGCTGCATGGTGCTTGTGCTCCTGCATGGGAGGCTGTGGTTCTTTCTTTCCTGCTCTTCCTCTTTGTCTCTGACCCCCAAACTGGGGCTTTCCTCATTCCCTGCACCTCCCTGGGGAAAAGCCCCAGTGGGAGGGGAGCAGAGGACAGGAGCAGCTCTGGTGCATGCTGACCCCCCTGTGCATGGACAGCGGGTCACACCAGGGGCTGTGACACCCCCAGGGCAGGGGGGTGGCCAAAATGAGTCTCTAATAATGTAATTTGGAGTAATATCTTTAAAGGGAAAAGCAGGGCTTATCAAATCCCATGCCTGAAGTTTGGTGTGGAGATGGGCTGTCACTTGTTCCTTCTCCTGCTCCTTATTCTCCGTTGTTGTGGAAGTAAACATAGGTTTTAATGCCCTCTAAATCCCTTGGATCTGCTTCAAAAGGTATTTTCCTGCTGCTGCTAATCCTGCAGTGGTCAACAAACAAGGTTGCCTTGTCTGATTTCTCCTGAGCTGCAGTGGGGGGGTTCTTGCTCTGTTCCTGTGTCTCTCTCCTGACCTTTGGGGCAACTGGGGATCTGGTGCAGCCACACTTTTTATCCTCCCACGTGTTGCTGCAGCTGAGCCCTCCCTGCAATGTCTCAACACTGCTCCAATGTGGCTGCAGGTGGGGTGTCCTGTTCAGCAGCCAAGATGTGGCCGCCCGTGTCCCTCCTGTGTGTCCTGGTGGCCTTTGCCAGCGCTCGCAGCATTCCTTACTTCCCTCCTCTCTCTGATGACCTGGTCAACCACATAAACAAGCTCAACACCACCTGGAAGGTGAGTACTGGGCTGTTTTGGGGTGTGTTTTTGGGGGGGAGGCATTGCTGACGGTCTCTCTGTGGGATTCAGTGGCTGGGATTTGGGAATGTCACCGTGGTGGTGACATAGATCCAGCCTTGGTCCCAGCTGGCTTCTCCAGTGAGGTGATGCTGTCAGGGGCTCCTGCAGTGACAGGAACTGTGGAGCTCCTCCTTGGAGCAGAGCAGGATGAATTTGTGGAATAGGAGCTGCTGGTTCTTTGCTTTATTTTTTCTTACCAAGGCTGAGATTGAAAGTGCTTGAGATGGTATTTTGTGTTCAGACTCAGGTGTTTATTATTTCTTATCACAAGCTGTTCTACAGCATTTCACTTAACAAGCTACAAAATGGCCCTGTATCTATATCTATAAGGTCTTTTAAGGAAAAGCTATCTAATTAAGAAATGACACTTAAATTATTTTCACTTTTAACTCAGTAACTAATGACTCATGTCCCGCAATGAGAACTTTTCTGTCTAATTACAAAATACTACTTAAACCCATGAAGAAGAAGGTGAAGAAAAAGGATTAGCCTTTGCCTTAAAACCTCTATCTTGCTTCACATCTATTATTATATTCTAAAACGTTAAACTCCATGTTTTCCCCCATGTGATATTACACACTTCTAATCAAACTCCACACCCACAATCCCAGTTCTATCATTCAATTTTGGAAGCTTCTTCCATGGCCTCAGGTCAAATGCAATGTTCTCCTGGGGTCAGATCTGTCAGCACAGAAAGTCTGAAATTTTCAGCATCCAAGGTTCCAACATCTCCTTCCCCTATTGTCTGAACCATAATCACTGCTTTGACAGCTTTGTCAAACCTCTGTTGGATACAGTGAAATAGAGGAGGAGGAATAATGTACAAGGAGGAAACTCTGCAGGAGGCTGGAAATGCAGACTTTTCTGTCTAATTACAAAATATTACTCAAACCCATGAAGAAGAAGGATTGGCCTCTGCCTTAAAACCTCTATCTTGCTTCACATCTATTATTATATTCTAAAATATTAAACTCCGAGTTTTCCACCAGGTGATATTACACACTTCTAATCAAACTATACACCCATAATCCCAGTTCTGTCATTCCATTTTGGAAGCTTTCTACACAGTCTCAGGTCAAATGCAGTGTTCTCCTGGGGGTCAGAGTCTGTCAGCACAGAAAGTTTAAAATTTTCAGCATCCAAGGTTCCAACATCTTCCCCTCTTGTTTGAACCATGAACACTGCTCTGACAGCTTTGTCAAACCTCTGTTGGATACACTGAAGTAGAGGAGGAGGAGCAATGTAAGATGAGGAAACTCTGCAGGAGACTGGAAATGCAGACTTTTCTGTCTAATTACAAAATGCCACTCAAACCCATGAAGAAGGTGAAGAAGGATTAACCTCTGCCTTAAAACCTCTATCTTGCTTCACATCCATTATTATATTCTAAAACATTAAACTCCATGTTTTCCACCATGTGATACTACACACTTCTAATCAAACTCCAGACCCATAATCCCAGCTCTGTCATTCCATTTTGGAAGCTTCTTCCATGGCCTCAGGTCAAATGCAGTGTTCTCCTGGGGGTCAGAGTCTGTCAGCACAGAAAGTCTGAAATTTTCAGCATCCAAGGTTCCAACATCTCCTTCCCCTCTTGTCTGAACCATAATCACTGCTTTGACAGCTTTGTCAAACCTCTGTTGGATACAGTGAAATAGAGGAGGAGGAGGAATAATGTAAAAGGAGGAAACTGCAGGAGGCTGGAAGCAAGCAGGGAGTGTCCAGTTATTGGTGACCTGACCCTTCTTGGCCAGTTTGCTGTGTCCAGAGCCTTGAGCTGGACCTTACTGGTCCTGATGGGCTGATCCTGGGCTCTGTTCTGTGTCTGGAGGTGCTTGGCTCTTGGCCCCTGGGCTTTTGC